ATTAGTTCAGGGGCCTACATATTGACACAACAAATTAGCAAAACATAAATAACAAGGAAAAATTCATAACAATAACAAATTAATAACTGCACCACTCAAATAAAATATTTTGCAAACCCATAACAACCACATCCTAGATGCACAAGGTTTTATTGGATATCAATATTTTCTACTGTTCATAACCAAGATAATTCTCTATACATGAAATACATATATTACTCATCTCACATTTTCCCATCTCAATTTTATCAATGCAGAATTTTAAATAAAACCCAATCCTGATATACATTTTTATAATATTTATTACTCAATCAATCTAAACTACACACAAAACCCATAATTCCATTCTCATCTCAGTAAGTAAATTGCTTGTTGAAACTACGATTTGTCTACACCTGGCCATAGCTAAAGCATTACCAAAGAATTATCATATTCTACAATCACAGGCAGAAAAGTGAGGAATAGTAGGAAACAAAATCATGTGACTAAGCTCAAGAAGTCAACAGTAACATTTTGAGGAACAATAAACAAGTGGTCTTATGAATACACAAATTTATAACTCCCTAGGAATATTCTAAACCATCCACACAGGACAATATTCTCGATGGTCTCTCACCATATTATCATTCCCAATACGACAATTTTTGTTAAATTACCAACATATCTAAGATAACAAATAGCATAAATATGTAAGTCCCCTAAAATCCGAATAAACTAAAGAGCTATAAGGTGGAAAAATAAACATACGATTTAGCGATGGTAGAACTTGTGCTTGAAGTGGTTGACGACATAGTTATGGGAGGCTATGTGGGGTGGGATGAGTACGTTTGACCAGTAATCCGCCCACCGTGGGTCGGAATAGTGAATGTACGTAGCGGCGGCCACTCGCTTCACCTTCTGCAGATCCTCTACTTCTCCAATACCCATGATTTTCCGTTGAAAGTAATGAAGGGCTTGGGCACGAGCTATAAAGAGATCTTGAACCGCTTCCTTTACTCGGTCAACAGTTCTTAAAAACTTGGAAGCCCCACCAATGCATCCTTTAGTTCATCCAGCTCAATCATCTCAAGCACCTCCCACACGATTTCATACAACTTTATCTCATCCATTGTTTTTACCTGTGTCCGATGATTACTTATACAATTATTAACTAATAAGTAATATAAAAGGTTAAATCTTACATTAAATACTATAGTGGAAATTTTATCCAAACAATCAATTCCGACAAATTAGGGAAAAAATAGTACATTAATCTAAAAATGCATTAAAAACACAAGAACATAACTTAGTTATTCTCTTGTACCAACATAACACATCAGCCATGCAAAAGTTTTTGGTTGAAGAAGATGCCTAATTGCACATATTAATTTATGTTTTAGCACTGTACATATAACTATAGACATTTAACAAAATTCCCTTCATAACACCTGAAAAAAGGAAAATTCCGACGAAAACATTATTAAAAAAAAAAACATAGCAGCAAGCAAACAAACATCATAATTAACATACACTGATTATTACATATACCAAGCCATTCCCCCCAACCAAATAAACACCTCAAAACCAGTATGATATAGAAACAATATAAACAAAAAAAA